CTGAATCAAGAGAAGTCAGCTTGGGTCTGTGGCGGCTGTGGCTCCAGAGAAGCCTAATGGCGCAAGCACAGCAGCCCCGGGGGCAGCAGGCAGCATCCTTGGACTTCTGGCCAGCAGAGCGGGGGCAGCACAGCCTCCCCGAGTCCCTTCTGTCCCAGGAACAGTGGCATGCTGCAGAGGGGCTCTGCTGGGCTCTCAGGCGCCCTCCGGCTCGGCCACAGTGGTACCACCAAGGTGAGGCTCACACTTACACTGCCCAGGGGCCCCTCTATGCCCGTACCTGCCCATGCACATCCTTGCAGAAGCCAGTGGCCAAGCCCTCAGCCCGCAGGATCAGATGGCTCTGGTGGCTGAGGCCACTCAGCAGGAGGTCATTCTCCTCATCCTCAGTGTCTCTGCTGTCATGTACAAGGGCCACCACATTTCCCTGCATTGACACAGGATGGCAGTTGCTTCTCAATGGAAGAGACACGAAAAGAGGGTGCCCTGGGCTATCCCCATCTGTAGCCCTACACACCCTCTCCCCATCACCCTCCCGTGGGGCTCCCGGACCCTGATTCCAGTTATCTACCAGTACCTTGCACCAGCAAGTCCAACCTGCACTCTTAGCTCAATTCATCTAAAACCAGGGTCTTCAAAAGCAGCTCAACCTCAATTCCTAAACGTTATTAAAAAACGCTAGCACCTTGCCAGGCGCCAAGTCACAGTCAACAGGTGCCAAGCACTTACTGTATACCAGGTCACTGCAGGTAAGAGGTGAGCCCTGGAGACAGAGGGGACAGCAAAGGGTGACAAGGCTGAGGGACAGACGTGGGGCTGCTGAGAGGAAAAAGAACAGGCACCCTGTGGCCGGAGAAGGGACTGGGGCAGGCACACCTTTAGGGTTTTTCCCAGTAGCGGAGATTGAACACAGGACCTCACATGTGCTAGACAAGCACTCTGCCAGAGCTATGTCCTCGGCCCCTTTTACTTATGTTATTTTGAGGCAAGGTCTCACTAGGTTACCCAGGCTGGCCCCAAACTTGCAATTCTTAGCTTCGCACGTAGCTGGGATTATAGACGTGTACCATTATACCCAGCCTGTCCTCTTTCTGAATGGTAAAACAGAGTGGGTGTTATTTTTAAAAAGTATCAAAAACTATGGAGATTACCAGTAGGAAAAAGAAGGAAGACAGAGAGGCACCATGGAGTACACCTGCAATCCCAGAACCCAGGAGGCAGAGGCAGGAGACTCAGAAGCCTGAGGCCAGCCTAGGCTACACAGCTACACAGTGAATTGAAGGCCAGCTGAGACTACATGGGACCCTGTCTGAAAAAAAAAAAAAAAAAAAAAAAAAAAAAAAAAAAAAAAAAGCAGGGAGATGAATTACCTACAAATATACATAGTATATTATGTAGATTCTAGAAGGACATGTGTTGGAGGAACTTATTATTATTTTGTGGATTACTGCCAAAAACCTCTAACATCTTTTATGTGTTTTAGTTTTTGACACAGGGTCTTATTATGTAGCTCGGGCTGGCCTTGAACTCACTATGTAGCCCAAGATGCCTGGAACTGGGCGATCTTACTGCCTCAGCCTCCCAAGTGCTGGGACTACAGGTGTGCATTACCATATCTAGCATCATAAAGGTACTTTCATACCCTATACTTCTACTGTACTTTTTTTTAAATTTTATTTATTTATTTGTGTGTGTGTGTGTGTGTGTGTGTGTGGCCAGCTCAGCCCACCAGGGGGTGGGGCGGGCTGGCATGTGGTGCCGGGGGATTGAACCGAGGTCCCTGTGCTTTGCTAAGCTTGTTCTAAGTAGGTGCTTTAGACCACTGAGCCATCTCACCAGCCTCTCTACTGTACTTCATAACTTTAAAATCCTAGGCTTATTCATCAATACCACCCTCACCCCACCTCCCACCAAAAAGAGACGTCAGATAATTTCAAGACACACTCAAGGAGCCTGGCATGAGTGAGACCTCAGGTTCAATCCCCAGTACCAGAAAAAAAAAAAAGTAACCGAAGCCAGGGATGCTAATGAGCTCCACACTTGGCGCCACCTGACCGGGCCTACTAAACACAGGGCCAGTTGGTCCTTTAATGTTGAAGGCTTCATTTCTAGCAGTGGGAGGGGTGGAGAGCAGGACTGGTGGGCTGGAAGATTTCTGTGCCTCCCAGAAGAAGGTCGAAGCCCAACTAAATACGCAAAAGCCCCCCGGGAGTGGCCGGCCAGCCCAGACCCGGCGTACCTTCCACTCCACGCACACGGCAGCCCTACAGTAGTGGATGAAGTCCAGCACCGTCACAGCCCGCACGCCCAGGCTCAGTAGCACACTGAGGTCGTCCACCAGCAGAACCGGGTACTTCCACGTCGCCTCCCCATCGTCCCCAGGCTTCAGGGCCTCCCGCACAAATGCAAACAGTGGCTGCAGGTTCTCAGCACTTGCCTCCCTGGGGACATGGCACAGAAGTCACCAGAGCTCACTCACTCTGCTGCACCACAGTCCTCACAGTGTGGAAAAGAAAAGGCACATGCACACACATGGACAGGATTACTCTGCGCCAAGTGCTCCCTGAGAGTGACGAGGTACAAAGCACTGTGCTAGAAACTAAAGGCATGTGGGAAGGACAGTCTTGGGACCCTTAAGAGACACCATACAGCCAGGCATGGTGGCACACACCTATAATGCCAGCACCTGGGAGGCTGAGGCAGGAGGGTCACTGTGAGTTTGAGCCACATAGTGGGTTCAAGGCCAACCTAAACTACAAAGTGAAACCCTGTCTCAAGAGAGAGAGAGAGAGAGAGAGAGAGAGAGAGAGAGAGAGAGAGACAGACAGACACAGCAAACAAGCTAGGTACAGTGGTGCAACCCTGTGATCCCAGCTACTCAGAAGGCTGAGGCAGGACGATGGCAAGTTCAAGCCCAGCCTGAGCAACACAGTAAGACCCTACCTAAAAGAAGGAAGACTCCATATAGTTTGTCAATCTAAGAGCTACAGCACCTGGCAGATCAACCAAGAACGCCCGCTCAGAAGGTCATGTGCAGCTTAACGAGAGTTAAGTAGCAATCCAGCTGCCGTGGCAGTAAGAGCTGGTGGCCTAAGTGCTGTGTGGATGTGACTTTAGACCTGTGCTGGCTGCCCTACCTAGTGAACAACCCCAGGCACCAAGGACAGGGCCTAGGCCAACTGCCCCACCACCTTGAGTGCCAGGGATGAGCACCAGCCCCAGGTCCCCTCACCAGTGAGGACAACTCCCCACTCTCAGCGTCAGGTGTAAGGAGCTCTGCATCCCGAGGAAGAAGGAGGAGGGTGTCAGAGAGGTCACACACAGGGCTGGGGAGCACAACCTTCCAAGCACTGCACGAGGGGGTGGGGCTCCCACATGGGCACCCCACAGGAGACGACGACCAGCAACCAAGTTTGGCACTGGTGTTCAGAATGGACTACAGGCTGCAGAGCCAATCTCACACCTTTAAGAGACAGGGTCCAGAGAGATAGCTCAGTGGCATAAGCACTGACTGATAAGTGTAAGGTCCCAAGTTTGATCCCCAGTACCACAAAAAAAAAAAAAAAAAAAAAAGGCCAGGCTTGGTGGTGCATGCCTATAATCCCAGTACTCAGGAGGCTGAAGCAGGAGGATTTCTGTGAGTTCGAGACCAGTCTGGGCTTCATTTATTTATTTATTTGTTCATTTATTTTATTCTGTGGTACTAGGAATTAAACTCAGGACCTTGTGCTTGCTAGACAAGTGCTTATGCTGCTGAGCTATATTATAACCCTGGTCTCTTAGCCTGGGCTTCAAAGTGAGCTCAAAGCCAGCCTGAACTGCATAGCAAGACTCTTCTCAAAATAGACAATAACAACAACAACAACAACAATAAAAGAAAAAAAAGGAGCCAGATAATACTGGGTTTTGGGGGGTTTTTTTGGGAGGGGGGCTACTGGGAATCAAGCTCAGGACCTTGTGCTTGCCAGGCAGGCACTTGTGCTGTTGTGCTACATCCCCAGCCATTAATATGTATTCCAGTGTGTGAGTCACATGGTCTTTGTCTCAGCTACTCATTCTCCTGCCATAAAGCAAAACAGCCAAGGACACGCGAAGGTGGCATGAAACAGGCAGCTGGCCGCGGCGCAGCTGCTCAGGTGCTTGTGCTGGAGCTCTGAGCCAGGGCTGGAGAACAGCGAAGGGCATTACGTCCACCCTGCCAGCAAACAGGCTTCCTATAGCTCGGGAGGCCACTGCACGCCCTGTGACGGGAGCCCTGCCGCCAGTTCTGCCTTCCCTCAGGACACGAAGCCATGACACATACCCACCCGCCAGGTGCACACCTGAGAAACTGCAGGGGGTGTGGCTCCGCTGGCTTCTGGAAGAAGACGTCCAGTGAAGTCTTCAGGGCCTCGAGGAACACGAGCTGCCCGCATTCCCGTGCCATGGTGAGGTTCACTCCCTAAATGCACAGAGGAGAGGAAGTTACTTCGCCTCTTGGGGGACCTGCCAGAGGGGCTGGACGGCAGCTCAGGAGAGCTGCAGGCCACACCCACACCCTCAGAGGCCAGACTTTCTACTCTCGTACACCCAGGTGCTCCCAGCCCACAAACTCCTTTCTGTTTCCTTGTCACATTTCCAAAATAACATTTTCCCTTATTTATGTACACATTTCCATGATTATACAATATTGGATATGACTGCATAATGAGCCAATGTTTTGGGTATTAACGGAGGATCACTTTTGTGGCGCTGGAGAACTTACATGTGTGACTTTAGTTCAGACAGCCTGACAGGTGCAGCCCATTAGTTCCGCTTTTATACAACCTGAGACCTGGGCCATAGAGATAGCTCAGCAGTCTAAGCGCCTGCCTAGGCAAGCACAAGGACCTGGCTCTGCCACCTCTAGTGCGCTGAGCCAGCCACTAAGAATGGGAAAGGTGGCACACGCCTGTAATCTCAGCACTGGTAAGGCCGCAACAGGAGGGTCACTATGAGTCTGAGCTGCGCAGTGAGACCCTGTACCAAATACATAAATTTAAAAAAAAAAAAATCTTAGACCTACCCTGAATGCACATTAGGAATCAAGACAAAGCCACAATCTGCTATCCTGGCACTTGCCAGACTCTGACCCACTGTCGCATTATTTACTTATTACTGATTGTTTTCTTTTTCCTTTGAGACAGGGTCTCACTATGTGGTTCAGGTGGGCCTTGAATTCACTATGTAGCCCAAGTAGGCCTCGAACTCCCACCGTTCTTCCCTGAGGAGACTGAGGTAACAGCCATGTACCACCATGCCTCGTTTTAAAATAAAATTTTATTCATTACTAATTTTAAATGTACTTAATCTTATAAATACATACAGGGCTCTCACTTGCACCCGGCTACTCAGGTGGTACAGCAAGGCGCCAGGAGCAGGGATGCCCGTGTGTGCACTTCACATGTGCTGCTGCATGTGCTGTCCTGGTGTGCCGATGGCCCAAAGGTGAAGGAAAAGCGACCAATCTGCACACGGATGTGCATGGTTTTGTCACCAAGAAACACATGGGCACATGTCAGAGACATGACATGAAACTCATGTTCCTGAACGCAGCCCTGACCTCTATGGGAATGCCTTCCTCCTCTGCAGAGGGCAGGAAAGCGTCTACCTTTCTCTCCCCGCTCGCCCAAGTGTTTGCAACACAGAAGAGGCAGAACACCAGGACGGGAAGATACCAGAAACGGTAATAGCACCTCTGATGGGTGGGCCACTTCTTGCCCTCTCAGGCTGGCACCTCCCCCGCCCCCAAGCCTCCAAAAGCCTGTGTTCCTTGAGCTCCCATTCTCAGGCAGTTAGGTGTATCTGGTCACTGGTCACAGGTCATGTCCTTGGACAGGTGAGCAGGCTCACTGGTCTCTGCTATCTTAGACTTGTCTGCCCACATCTGATGAGGAGGGGTGCTGTGTTTATGTCTAGATGACACCCCCAGAACCTCACACAGTTATGGGAGGGCACTTTCCAGAGGTGGCTGAATCCAGTTTGTGACTGATTCATGGTCTAATACTGGGATTAAGGGTGTGAGCGCTATCCCCAGCCTAGAGTGGGCAGCCTGCACCTGACAGAAGGAACCGAGACAGGCTTGTCTTCCTTTTGCTCTCACTGCTTTTGCTATCTTCTGCTACCATGAGCTGCTCACCCTCTGCCAAGTGCCACCCTTCCTTGGAGCCAGCCTATTATGGGCTGAAACCTCTACAGACTGTGAGCTAAATAACCTTTCCTCTTTTAACTTTGGGTGTTGGGTGTTTTGTCTCAGCCCTGAGAAAAGTAACCAACAGACCAGCAAGGTGAGGTGAGGGACAGGCAACAATAAATTCTGCCCACAGTGGGGTTCCACACCCTCCAGCAGCGATGGCGAGCCTTTGAGAGCCCAGGCTCCTGAACTGCAACCCACATTCACACCACAAAGTGCCAGCACTGCAGCTAACCTGGAATACTGTTTTAGTTTAGAAAAAACAATTCATACATGAACATCTCTTGTCATAGAAGAAAAACCAGTAACACATGTGCCATAGGTTCACTACCACTGCCTAGACCTAGAAGAGACAGTGGGAAACCCCTAACCTAGCAAGAGACCAAGGTGTGACCCGGATCCAAGCCAGCGGACCAGACGACGCCCACACTGGCCAGGGGCGCCTGTAAGTGTCCAGAATCGATAATGAAGGATTTGATGCACTGACATTCACCACCAACAGATCTGGCTCTGTACACTTTCAATTAACAAACCATGTTGAGATGCTGCTTCAGCCCAGTTGATGAGGGGTTCAGGGCCCCAGGATTTCCTTACCATTGCTTTGCCAAGTCTGCTACAACCCTAACAGGAAAGGGCACCCTCCCAAGTGCATGGCACATGCTCACTCGGGGTCCTCCACATGGGCATCAGCAATACTTACCAGCTTCTGTCCCACGATGCTGTAGTGGCTGAAGGACTGGACGAGTGCCACAAAGCAGACTTTACAGTTAGCTAGAAACGAGACATGGTAATCGGCAACCCCACCCGCACCCCACCCCCACCCCACCCCCAAGCAGCAGCCTGCGGAGCACTTCCCAGCTCCAGGAACAAAGGCATGGGGCGGACTGGATGCCCAAGGCCCGGCTGGCTGATAAATCAGCCTGGCATCCAAGAACACTTGTGCTCAAATATAAATTATGACCCAGTCATGGTGGTGTACACCCGCAATCCCAGCCCTCTGTAGGCAGAAGGAAGAGCGTAAGTTCACACCCAGCCCTGGCAACTTAGCAACTCAGACTCTTTCTTAAAGTAAAAAATAAAAAGGGGCTGAGAATTTAGCCTAGTGCAAAGGCCCCGGGATCAAATTCCAATATCAAAATGTAACATCCAAAATTTTGATTCTAAGATGTATTTCTTTCTTTTTTTTTTTTTTTTAATAATATATATCTTTCAAAAAAAAATCTTTTATTTGCTTATTTGGTACAGGGTCTTGCTACACAGCTTGGACTTGCGGTGATCCTCCTGTCCCAGCCGCCCCAGTACTGGGATTGCAGGCGTGGGCCACCATGCCCAGTCTCGGTGGCCAGCTCTGCACAGGGCCAGCATGGCATGCTATACTGGGGATTGAACCCGGGTCTTTGCACTTATCAGGCGGTGCTTAGACCACTGAGCTATCTCCCCTGGCCTCTCTAAGATGTACTTCTATTGGATATATTACTAAATACTTAATTCTGTTCTATTAAAAAGTCTGTCTTTTTTCAATTATTGCTTCTGTTTACTGATGATATACAAGAATACTATTCATTTTTAAATAGTTTTGTATGAGCCAAGTATTATCCCAGAACTCTGGAAGCTGAGGCAGAAGGACTGCCACATTTGAGGCCAGTCTCAACTACATAGTGAGTTCAAGTCCACCCTGAACTACACAGCCAGATGCTGACTAAAGAAAAAAAAAAAAAAAAGTTTTACATCCCAAAGAAAACACAAAGAAACTCTGGCTACCCAACAAAATCTTTTTCATTCTAATAGTTTATCTGTAGATTCTCTTGCTTTTTCTATGCTGGCAATAACAGTACATGAACATTACCTTCAAAGCTGTAAGATTAAACTGGATGTTTAATCTTCTGGCTCATGCCTGAAATCCCAGCACTCAGGAGGCTGAGGCAGGAGGATCACAAGTTCCATGCTGTTACTCTTTCCATGTTATCTGACCTTAAGCAAGTGCTTAAGCTCTCTGGGCTTCAGTTTTTTGTTCATTTATAAAATATGTAGGACCACTCCTAGAGGGTCTTGGGCCTCACTGCTGTCATTTCCTGGTTCTCCTACTCTATTCTTTCTAGCCCTACCAAGACCCTATCTCAAGACTAAAAAACAAAAATAACAAGTAAATAAAAGCGGCAAGTTACTACAACCATGAGGGCTATAGTCTGCTTCATACCCTGGCCTGGCACTGTACACACCCAAGCAGAACCCGCTGATAAGTGAGTCCCTTTTGCTTTTGACTCCCCTTTCCTAACCTGTTTCCAAGTGTAAACTGCGGTGGCCATATTCTTTAGTAAGCACTCACTGTCAGGGCAAACTGTCAAGGGGGATAAGTATCCAGGGACGCAAGGAGTAAGGAGCCACTACATAGGGAGGTCACAGGGGGACCCGGGAAGGTGATTAGTGCCTGCACATCAGGGAAAGGTGAGAGTGAGCACAGCCAGCACATGCTACCCTGCAGGGCTGGGAAGGAGGGAGAAGCAGCCAGTGCTGTCACCCAGTAACATGGCTTTTTGGCTACTCAAATCCAAACTCCACTTAATAAATGTCATCCCATTGAGCCTGAAACACACTGTTTTTTTAAATTTTTTTGCCTTGGGTTTCTTTTTCTACATTAATGTGTCCCATACCTTTGAGGTAGAAAGAGAGAAAGTGGTGCACGAGGAAACTGCCATCTGTCCTGGCATCACAGAGTAGAGTGAGTTTCCCCTAAAAGTTAAAAAAAACACAGAGGTAAATCTGACTCCCTAAAAAGAGGTCAAACTAGTACAAAAATCAAGTCAACTGAGCCCACTTCTAAATTTCTACACCTACTGCGTACTTTAATGGTATATATGCTAAATTTACCCAAAAATGAAGAAAACAAAACAGTATCATTTCTTAAAAAAACTTATGATATGGGGGCCAGGGATATAGCTCAGCAGCATAAGTGCCTGCCTGGCAAGTCCAAGGTCCTGAGTTCGATCCCCAGTACCAAAAAACAAAAACAAAACCCTATGATTAAAGGTATCAATGTTGTTACTGGCGAAGTGCATGCTTACCTCAGCTTTCACTTTCTCAAGGCAAAACAGAATAAAAATGTTTCTCTTCCCCTTTGTCACCTTACTAACTCAGGAGCCAGTCTCTGGGAGAGCTAGATTCAGAACCAAAGATGCTTTTGCCATCTGGCTTCAATGAAAATCACAGATTACCAAGACTGTAAGGGACTCTCAGAGACATTTTCTAACCTCATTTCCTCCCTTTTTCAGATACCAATTCTGTCCTGTATCCTGGTGGGAGGTGTCAGGGCACTAGAGGAACAGAGATTGTGGACTGTAACAGAGATCTCCAATAACAGACCTCTCCAAATGACCATTTGTCATACCTGCTACTTCCATGCTGTGCGACCTTAGGCAAGTGCCTAACTTCTCTGGGCCTCTGTAGTTTCTCCTCTCTCACTTATAAAAAAGTAAAGATTAAGCTAGGTATGGTTGTGCACTCCTGTAATCCCAGCACTCTGGGAGGCTGAGGCCAAGGATCACAAAGTGGAGGTCAGTCTAGGCAATTTATTGACTTTATTTTGGTGGAACCGGGGATTGAACTCAGGCCCTTGCGCTTGCCAGGCAAACGCTTATTCTACTGAGCCATCTCCCTGACGCCCAATTTATTGACTTGCAGGTCTCCAACTCAAGTTTAAAAAGGTGTGGGGATATAGGTCAGTGTACGTCCTAGGTTTAACCTGCAGTACTGAAAATAAAATATCAGCCCACACTGGCACACCTCGAGTCCGCGTGCCAGAGCTGCCACTCCCTGGTAAACGCTCCAGTCCTCCATTCACTCTGGTTCCAGTACCTGGCAAGGTAACCAGTGTTACCTGGGGGCTTAGGTAGACAAGAATTCCTGGGCAATTAAAATACTCCAGGATCTCTTGAAAGCTACAATCTGCCTGGCACTAGGAAAGGCAGTTTACATTGCCTGGAGAAGCCCAACTTTTCATTACAATAATGACAGGGCAAGCCAGAGATGTTCCTAGAACAGGTAACTTTTGCAATACTTAAATGCGCCCAGCCAGGCGTGGTGGTGCACGCCTGTAATCCTAGCACTGGGGAGGCTGAGGCCAGAGGATCGCCACGAATTCGAGGTCAGCCCGCACTACGCAGTTCAAAGCCCGCCTGAACTACGTAGCAAGCCTGGATCTCAAACACAAAAGACCAGTGTCCGGTACCAGAGTGGGAGGTAGAGCGGCCAGGCTGCGTGTGGTGCATGCGGGCTGCGCACAGCTCTCAACAGCTCTCCGGGACACCGCGAAGGGACGCGGGTGGGGAAGGCAGCTGGTGGCTTGGGGCCGGCGGCTGACCCCCACTCGCTTCTGGGAGGGGGGAGCCAACTGCTTGACGCGCTTCCTGAGGCCCTTTAAGGGCACTCACGGCGTTCGAGAACAGCGAGACCGCCCGGATCGCCACCGCCCCAGGCCCTGGCCGACAGCACCCCGCCCGCCCAGCTGCCAGGACTCGCGGCCGCCGTACTCTCCCGCCAGCCCGCGCGCGCCGCTTCCCGGAAGTGCGCTTTGCCACGCTCCCGGGACCCGCCCCTTCCAGGTCGCGCGACAGTTTACCTGCTCCGCCTTGTCAGGAGTGGTGTCGAGAAGGTTATTGAGTTCTGGGAACATTTCGAACTCCGAGGAAATTAGCGCGGTGAAGGAGAAACTGGGCTGCTGCGGGGCCAACGAAAGGTGGAGCGTATCCTCCACCGCCAGGCTCGCGCCGCGGAGTGCGCATGCGCGACGCTGCGCGGGAACCGGCCGCAGCCAATCATCGGAGCGCGTTAGGGACAGGGCCGCTTCGCGTGGGCTCAGGGGTCGCCTGCTGAGCCCTGACGGCGCGCGCTTGGGATCTCTGCACCTGGCCTGTCTGTCTCCGCGTGCGGTTGTCGTGCGCTGCTGTATATCCTGTATCGCTGAACATGGGGTGAAGATTCCCACCCTCACAAGAAGCAAAAACAAACATAATAAAGGCTAAACATAGCATTGTATCCTGGAGAGATCAATGGGGAAAAGCAAAGCCAGGAGGAGAGAGTGACGATGGGAGTAGGGAGAGGCTGCAGAATCACAGAAATGTTAGGACCTCCCTCTAAATTATGATTGAGGACTGGGATATAGCTCAGTGGTACAGTGCCTGCCTGCCTGGCAAGTGTGAGGTCATGAGTTCGATTCCCAGTACACCCCAAAGTAAAAAAATTATGATTGAAACACTTTATGTGTCTCTGTCTAGGGCTTTTGCCCTGAATTCTCTTTGTAAAATGCTTTTACAAAGATAAGCAGATAGTCAGAAATTTCTCACTTTCTTCAGAACTTTATTCAGATGTCAGTTCATCTGTGAAGCTTTCCCTCAGCATCTTATTTATTTTTTTAATTTTATTGATGAACAAATAGCAATGAGACAGTTTCAAATCAAATCGGAAGTACAGTTTCAACAAATAACACACTGCCTATATTCTTCTTAGTGGTTAATTGCTGTACAAGATGCGGAATTGAGATCCTATTTACAAACACCATTAGAACAAATCATTCTATTCATTAAGAGAATGCAACTATATATCTATCCTAACCACTTTGAATACACAGATACAAAATGGACATTCATCGGTATACCCCATTTTTTCTAAGTTCCATTATTGAATATTATAGGTGTGTAAACTCAGCAAAACATTCCAAAAAAATCCAGCAGACCATAATAGCATTGGGTCCTCTGTTTAACTGGCAGTGTCAGAAATTATTGACCCGAGTCCCCCACAGCTCAACATAACAGCATGGCTTTACTTCCTATATTTCGTCTTCATACTTTTCTACTGGATGGTTAAGACCAAGGTAAAGCAGGACCTGTGCAACAAGAGTTGTAGCTTTTTGGTTCCCTCAGCATCTTATTTAAAGTTCAAACATTTTTTTCTTTTTTTGAAACAAGGTCTTGCTATGTAATCCAGACTGTCCTTAAACTCACTGTGTAGCCCAGGCTGGCTTCAAACTCCCAGCGATCCTGCTGTTTTAGTCTCCTGAGCGCTGTGATTACAAGTGTGCACCACCTCTCATAACTACATTTTCAATAGGCTGGCCAAATAGCTCAGGGGATTAATCCCCAGGCCTACCGTGCGGGCCCTGCCCCCGGGGCTAGCTGAGACAGGATGAGACTGGGCATGGTGGCACGCCTGTAATCCCAGCTCTTGGCAGGGTCTAAACAGGAGGTTCACTAGGAGCTACGCAGTGAGACCCTGAACACCCTGTAGGCCCTTGCCTAAAAAAAAGAAAAAGAAAAAAGTCTTTGCTTTTTATTCTTTCTATCACATAGTTTTGTTTTTGTTTTTTGTTTTTTGTGGGGCCAGGGAGTTGTGCAGGGTCTCACTGCGCAGCTCCAACTCATAGTGATCCTCCTGTTTTTCAGCCTCCCTAGTGCTGGGCTTACAGGTGTGTGCCACCATGCCCAGACTCCATTGCCGGCTCAGCGTGGCATGTGGTGCCAGGGATCAACCCTGGCCTCTAGTCTACTCAGCTATCTTGCCAGTCCTTGTAAGATAGTTTTGTTGCAGCTTTGTCAGCCCCAGATCACCAGGGACAAATCCATAATTCTGCCAAAGTCAAATTTGTTGAATCATTAATCATTTCGATGAAGAACATAGCACACCAGCTTGGGGTTGTGTTTGAAAGAAAAGAGAGTTGTAATAGGATAAAATTGAAATGAAGGAATGTTTTTCTAAAGACTCGAAATAAAGCACAGCTGCCAGGTGTGGTGGCCTACACCTGTAATCACGGCACTGGGAGGTGGAGGAGGATGGTGGAGAGTTAAGGACACCCTGAGCCTCTAGTGAGACCCTGCCTCAAACGAACAAACAAAAAGTACAGCGGCTTCTACATACAGGGATCAATATCTGACCTGCAAAATGGGCCTAGCACGCGCTTTCTATGAAAACTACAAGGTTAAGATAGGAAGTTGTAACTGATAGCTCCCAAGGGCCTGAGTTCAATCCCTGGTTCCGCCAAAATAATAATAATAATTAATAAATAAAAATTACTGTATATGTGTTTTTTTTTTCCTTTTCATTTGTGCAGCCATGTGTTCTTGACACATTTCAATAAAATTGGAGGAAAAAAGTTGTGGGATGAAGTCTCTTGTCTAAAGTTCTGCACTTGAGTGGAAATCAAGGCTACTTCTCTGTCAAAGATACTTAGATCCTCCAGGCAACCCTGGGATGTTTGATGCCTACTGACAGGTGGGAAAGAAAAAAGCAGCCACTGGCTTCTGGGAGCTAGCCTGGTGCTCGCCTGTTGAGCGTAAACAGTTTCCAAACACATCAACACCAGACTGATTGTAATGGGTCAAGACAAAACCAGGCCACTCCATAATCGTGTTGAACAAAAAACATTTTCATTGTCCAAGCTACAAACTGCCAAACATTCCCTCTCCCAGCTGTACTCCATCCCCACCCCCCAAAAAAGAATTGGATTGAACCCAAGGCCTTTGCACTGAGCTACATCCCTAGTTTATTTTAATTTTGAGACAGCATCTCAGTAAGTTACAGTACTAAGTTGCCCAGATTTTTAGTTGGGTTCAAACTTGTGATCCTTCTGCCTCCGCATCTCGAGTTCCAGGACCCTGGGTGTCCGCCATCACTCCTGGCTCTAAAACCATTTCTGCTGTGAACTCATCAGTGAGGACGTCGACTCTCGGCACGCGCTGAGCACGGCTGTGCTGGGAAGCACATGTCAGTAGGTGAGGCTTTAAGGGATGCTTGATACTTCGGTCACAATGACTTCAATCTAGTTTTCTCCCTATTAGTTGCCTTTAGGAGGAGACTCAGAACAACTTTCTCTTGGATGTGTATCTGGAGTGGAACTTTTAGGTTATACACAGAGATAAATTTACCATGAAAGCAATAAAGCCAATTTTGTTTTCAAAATACATTTCTTTTGGGGGGGGTTATACAGGGAATCAAATCCAGGGACATTTTACCACTGAATTATATCCACAGGCTTCCCCCCCCATGGGTTTTGTTATGAGACAGGGTCCACTTTGTAGTTTAGGCTGGCCTTGAACTCACTTTGTAGCCCAGGTTGCCCACCAATTGACAGCGGTTCTCCTGCTTCAGTCTCCAGAGTACTGGGATTACAGGCGTGTGCCACCACATCTGGCTTTATGTTCCTATCCTTAATTTTATTTGGGATGGAGTATTGCTGTGTTGCTCAGGCTGGCCTTGAAGCTGTGATCCTCCTACTTCAGTCTCCTAAAAGGCCAAGATTATAGTCCTGCGTCACTCCTAGATTCCAGCTACATTTTGACCTATGGGTCTTCATTATATCCACTTTCTTACCAATAGTTGGGCCTCTGGCTCACTTCCTGCCTAGTATGAACTCCTGGCCGTACCCTTGATTCAGAGCTGTCCAGCTTCTGTGGAGACTCTAGCAGGACCTGCGCCCCAGATTCCAGCCCCGACACCTCCTTTAGCCCTACTTCTGGATGCTGGTGGACCATCACTGTTTTTTTAGTTATGGTACCAGGAATCGAATTTATGACCTCCTGCTTGCCAGGCAAGCGCTGTGCCACTGAGCTGTCTCCCACCCAACCAAAAATGACATGGGGCCCTGCTCTGCTATATCAAGACCATATGTTCCCTTTGCTTGCCTGTCTCTGGACTGATGAGTTATTTTCTCCTGAGTATCGCCTGTCACCTCTGCCATCTGTGATCAGTTTTCATAGCCTTGTGTTGAAGCTGAGCCTGAAGAATCCGCAGGCTCCTGGTAAGAAAAACAGGTGGTAAGAAGCTGGGTCGTCTCCAGATGCCCACCAGGGGGCAGCAGGCCCTGGCGAATGATGCTGGGCCTCCAGGCACAGGCCAGGCAGGTTTGGGCAATCCCCCAGGCCACCAGCTGGCCTTGCTGGCCCCTGCCTTCCCTCTAAGGAAGCCATGGGCACTCCTTGCCCAGGTGTCCCTGAGGATGTCACCTAAAGGTGTTCCCTCTTTCTCTGACTAAAAGCTGGGTCCTCACCAGGCTCCATGGAGCCAGTTGCTCTGAGTGCCTATCCTATCCTCACCCATCCACTCTGTCGGGTGGTGTCTGGACATTAGTGTGCCTGAGAGATGGGGGTGGGAGGTGCCCAAAATAGCCTGCATTGCCAGTTGGGTAAAGGAACAAGGACACCAGTGTCTAATGCATGGAAATCATTTCTTAGGTCTCAGGCCTGAAGTGGTCCAACGGGCACTGTGATGTCTCAGGGTGGCCCACAGCACACATTACTGAGGGCCCCTGGTCACAGGCCATTAGCTGCAGAGCAAGGCCCAGCCAGTCCTGGCCACCACAGCCACCCTCAATGCCATCAGCATAGCAGGCCCCACAGAGACCCTCCTGCCTTGGCGGGTCTGCTTTCCTAGGAACTTACCCCTTATGAGTTTCTAAGGCCACTGAAGCCCTCAGGGAACACTGGCCCCCTAAGAAGGATGAGAAGACTCTCCACAACTTCAAAGTAACCCTTGAGCAAATGTCGACTGGCCTCGCAATCACTCCTTCCAGGACCCAGGACTCACTGCTGAGCATAAAGCCCACAGCGAACTCACACCCAGAGCAGCTGCCTCCGTGCACCGCCCGCCTTCTCACTGGAAGGCGAGATCTTGGTCTCCACCTTACAGTGAGCCCTGACTAGACTCCGGCTGGCCTGTGTGTCCTGAGGGAGTACTCCACCCTGGGCACCAGGAACCAAGGCCGGAAAGAGGGAG